TAGAGACGATATTAGTAGAATCGTATGTCAATATACAGATGATCCAAAAAAGGCATCCAAGATTATTGATAAGCATTAGTGGAATCGGAAATTCGTGGTTTTTGATTTTACTAAGGCAGTAGACGACCCTTTAAGCGTACGGCTTGGTTGGGATACACCTTTAAATCTTTCTAATGAATAGAATGTTATTTCAGATAATTTAGGAATTTTTCTGCCTCTTGTACTTCTATCTTCTTTTCTTCAACCTCACATCGTAACTTCTTATTATCAAAAGTTTTTTCGTTGTATTCCAATAATCGCTGAAATAAAACATTGACCTCTTTTTTAACCCGGCGATTGATCTCATCCTCACATGAGAAGCAAGGACACCTATGTGTCTGCTCACATGAACAAATTGGAATAGTATCTTGGGTTTAGGATTCTTGGTTAACCATGTTTATATATGTCTTGACACTAGCTTTGCTATTATACGATAAATTTTCAAGTGGTTCAATAATTTGTTTTTTACGCTTCCTATTTAATCCTTTCTCATATACCTCTAATGTATGATACAAATAATTCTCAATTCGATCACATTTTTCAGAAATTTGCTCTGATGTGACGAGGATCTAGAGTGATAACTATAATGGGGTTGTAATCTGAGTGAAACATCGATTATTAGTTTGCGCGCAAAAAGTTTGCAGGCAAAAAATTATGAAATACAGTATATATCGATGAAAAAAATAGTTATAATCAAATAAATAAATGTGATAGGTATTACTGCAATATATTACACTTCTAATTGTTGGAGACGCTTACTAAATCTATCTCGTAATTGGTTTTTCTTTCTACCTATCTAATTGTATGGAATATAATATTCTTCATATTTACTATTATGAAAGAAGCTAAGCATTTGTAGATTATTACATCTTTTATACATTGCAATTTGTTCAGCTCTCCACTGATTGAATTGATCTCGAGTTTGAGGATTTTTCACTTTACGACTAGTTAAACCTAGAAATTTCTTATCATCTGGAATATTATCATTTGGTAAACTTAACCAAGCAAGACGTGCATTTGATGGTACTCTTTCTTTGAATCGGCGATAAGCAGTTTGTATGATTCGAGCATATCCATCTTGAGATTTTGGATTATTACATCCAATGATACTTCATCAAATCTGCAGGTTCAATCTTTTCGATATATCGGTAAATAGCAGAAGCATATACACAGTGAACCTGGATATAACGAAACCTGGATATAACGAAACCTGGATATAATGAAGTTTTTTTTAATATGTATTATATAATAAAAAAATCTGGATATAATGAAAAACCTGCTTTTAACGAAGAAAAAATGTAAATCCAAATCATTTTTTAATGAAAAAAAAGGTCGGAACGGATCACTTCATTATATCCAGGTTCACTGTGTACTTTCTTTGATTTCACATCATTAACTTGAATCAATTTCCAGCAATCAAGACAAATTGCCATATGAGTTTTGTGAATTCTCGGTCTGTAGTAGTCGTGATTGACTAGCTTAGAATTTCCAAATCCACCATATAAACAGTGTACGTGATATACGCTTCTTTTCTTTTCAGAGACTAGCTCTTGTAAAGGAACTCTGACCCGAATAGCCCATTGTTGTGGAGTTTCATTGGGTCGAATAACAGATAAAGTATTGTATTGTCTTTCAATCTCAAAGAGTTTATCGAAGAATTGTTGATAATCATTAATGCCAAAATATTTGTAGATATATGACTCTATATATTTCATATCATATCCCGGTCTATTATTAATGAGTTTCTGTGATTTAGATTTTTTATCAATAATAATAGGAATATTAAGACCTGACATATTAATCGCTTATAGAGAATAATATATCCTGTCCACTCACAAGTTTGTGTCCAGATGTGTATAGCTAACTAATTTGTTTATATGTTATCTAACTTTTTTCTGGCTTTGAGCAGTTACTGCAAAAAGGCGGGGGATTTGGTACGATATATATATGATTAAAACTAGATTCATTTTTAGTGCAGATGGATTCTCAAACCATCTCTTCGAGAGTGTTATAATCGTCATATTTTGCGAGTGATGCATACGATGAGAATGGGAGAGGTGAATATGAATCTAAAGAATTTATTTGTGGCAATAATTATAACCAGAAAATCGAACAGGGTATAATTCAAGAAGTAATCCTGTTTATTCAAAAAGAAAAGTCGCTTAACTTATCAGATAAAAAAACATCTTCATTTTGTGAGACTAATATTTCTGAAACTCGCGATAATAATGTGGATAAAGATGGACAAGAGTTGGCCCGGTTATTTTCTGACGCTGAGATCACGGAAGGTAAAACAATAAAGGCTAAACAAAAAGAAGTCGTATGTTGGTATACTTATAGGAAAGCTTATAAAACAATGTTGCTGACATTCAATCCAAAACTGTTGTTTCTGAGAAAACTGCGAAAATTCGGATTTTTTTACTAACCTAGCTGTTATGTTGCAGAGTTCGACGTTATCGTAAGTCCAAAGTGGACAAAAGGATTCAAGTGGACCGTAAATATCGATCATGCAACCCTCGAGAATCTTAAGGAGAATATATATGCAACATATCAAACGCCAGCACTTGAAAATCCGTCTGTAGTATTTAACTTCGTGAATGATGGAGGGAGATATTTACCCAGGAACGATGACTCTTTCCGTGAGATGTTGCAGTCGCTAGTATCAAAAAGTAACCATAAGTTCACAGTGTTCATTGAGACTCCCTCAAAGCCATTTAGCGAATGGACGTTTCCGAAAGTGGGTGAACTCTATGGACTTTGTAATGATCCAAACCCTAGCATTAAGGTGTTGCCAGTTTTTTCATGTGGTTGTTAGACATCTAATGACCGGTTTAAAACTTCTCCAAGACATTACTCCCCTTGACATGGCGTACGAGGCGACGAAATCTATTTATTCATACTGTTACGAATGTCGTTCAACCAATAGGATCATTGGTTTAGTCGAAGTCAAGAGAGAGGATTTTATGAAAGGATTTGCCTAGGCATCCGTACAAATGGAATCATCCTTGACGGGACGCAAACGCAAATCCGATGAAATAGATAGTGAGCAGGGTGTGGATAAAGTGCTTGGAATCATTACCGATGCAAAAGATGGTATTTTATGGATGTATGCTTGATGAGGATAAAAAGCCGAAATTCAAACTATCAAAACCGGTAGTCGTTGTGTATGACAGTGGGGATATGAAGGGTATGGTTGAAAGGGTTCTAGATCATATTATATGGTTTTTGGATAAATCCCAGAAGCCAGTGGAAGTTTCGCGAGGTGGTGAACAATCTAGGGTACTAAAAAAGCATAGGTCATCAAGTAATCTCAGAAGAGTCCCGAACTTTGTATTTATTTTTACATATATTAATAAAAATTTTTTTCTGTTTGTTTTCCTGGGAAACGGTTTTTGGCAAAAGTGTTCTTCTGATTTCGTATGATTAATTAAATATATCATATTTTATATAAAAAATGTCAGATACACAGGCCCAAAGAGGGGAATCGAAAGATTCATCTACAATCATTTCGTTAAGAGAATTACCGTATATATCCGAAAATAAGCTACCCTTTTTTTGCAAAATTTTAAAACTTGAAAAATAAGGGGATAGCTTATTTTCAGAGTTTTATTTATTAATCGCTACATGAAATTTACATAAAATTTTGGATTTTAAAAGGTGGTAGCCTATTTTCGAACATATACGGTAAGTGGGTAAGTGATAACCCGAAAATCGTTTGTGTGACTGTGCTTGTGTCACAGCGGGTGAAAAAAAACTAAAGTCTTTATTCAACCTTGGAACGATATTACTTCTCACAACGATGTCCAACGAAAATAAATTTCAACCGAAATCATGAAAGTTGGAGCCTTCTCGATTTTTTGAGCGAGTGCAATCTAGAGTCGTTTGACCACAAGACGGACTGTTACATAAAATCACTAAGAGCAATCGTTGACTTTGATCATGGTAGCAGGCAAGAGTGCGCACGGATGCTTCTCGATGACTATAATAAGGCAAGTAAAAATTCTTTTCCTATTGGAAGATAGTTTGAAGAGAACGTGGCGTGTCTGGAGGCCTGCTTGGTCGCCTGACATTCAAGGCTGTTCGCTGAGCCACAAAACTGGGAATGACGTGTCGGGAGGCCTGCTTGGTCGTCTGGCATTCAAGGCTGTTCGCTGAGTCTGCACTGGACCCACTGGCACAGGAGGCCTGCTCGGTCGCTATGATGTTTGGTGGGATGGAAATCAATGATAAATTGGGGATGTTAGTCGGAATACTATTATTAATTCTTTCCATACTTAGGGTGGCCGTAAAAAAGCAAAGGAGTGGAATGACAAACGTCCACATGGTCAGATTCACGTCCACCAGGGAATGGAAATATATGTATTAGCGGTAATAACAATAGCGGAAATTTCACTGGACCATCATCGAAACTAGACCAAGAAGTATTTTTTTTTTTTGCTGGAAGTGATTCACCAATAGACTCTTTCTTTTGTATTTAGTTATGATGAAATCAAAGCACTAATCGTTAAAATGATCAAGGTGTTCGATAACTTTGTTATTATTATTGATTGTCTTTCAAAAATGTCTAATTAGCAAGTCCTTTATTATAGGCATCTGATTTTCGAAAAGCAGTAAATGAAAATTTCATGTCAACAAGAGGTGATGAGGATAAAGAATTCGCATGGGATTTTGCTTATCAACTGTAGGCATCATCTTATTATAATAGTTTCTTTGATCCGCACAATTATTGACTTTATGTAGGGCCAATTCTTTTGATCATGGAAATGATCTTCTTCATACCAACATGTCGGAAAGGATGTATCGAGAGATTTTCTTAACACCTGTAATTCGAAGTTTATTTCGAAAAAAAAGTACAGACCCGGATCTCTTTTTGTAAGTAATGGATTGTATCATTTTAAATTGCTATTTTTAACGATCATCAGATAAATATCAATTTGTTATCTATTTATTAAGTGGCGAGATATGCTTATACGCATCGGCTGAAGACGCCGATTTAAAGAAGAGCGACGCAGAAGACCGAAGTTCGGGACGAAAGATTGATGCCGTTTGGGCCACAAAACCTCCAAAGGTAGAGTTCGCAATTTGTGAAGTTAGTGGACCCCCCAACCAACGACTACATTCGCATTATTTTACCGACAAAATAAAGATCGGGAAAATGTTAAAAATAGTGCTAAATAGAATAGCTCGAGTTTATGGTGGGGATAGTACTATTTTCAATTTATTGAAGCTTTACGCTTTGCAGATTAATGGTAAATGTTCTCAGTATATTTAATGATAATCTTATGTTTTTTGTCTTGGTTATTGATTTTTAAATAATTGTAGATCACAATGCAATTGTATACGAAATGACCGTACCGTATCGAGAATTATACTTATTTAGAGAAGTAATACGAACGGAATTACCAACAAGTCAAGTTAATTTAGTGCGGATGCGTCAATACATCCCGAAATTCCTTTTATTTAAAGCATACGTCCTTATTTTTTTGAGATATTTTTCAATTAGTTCTTGTATGTACAAATTAAATTTATTCTATTGTTTATAGGAAATGCTTTGTAAAAGTTTAAGTGAACTACGTGAATATATTATGGAAGCTGGCTTACATACACCATCTGAAAAAATTAAAGCATCTCTATTTGTTACAGAAATGACGTATACGCCCCATCAAAAAAGGATAATAATAAAAAAGAAATAGGCAAGAGAGGAGGGGAAAAAGAAGTATATTTTATGTTGTTCAATAGTCAAAGAAAAAGTGTATAACTTCGTTTTTTTTATTAGTTAGCATGTTTTGTTAACTCGAGTTGTATAAATGCATAGTAAAAATATAATTGTAGTTATAACGTAGTACATATTTGAAAATAAAGTATATAATTCCTCATGAATCCTTTGCTGGATCGCATTGTCTAGGCTAAAAGTGATCGACGTTACAAATTGTAACGCGCACGTGATTTTCATCGTGTCTTAAAATAAATTACTGTCAAATTAACACTGGTTTGACGAGCTCGGACAAGCTTGTCCACGGTCACTTGCTTAAGCAAGGAATATGGTAGCTTTTTTTCTTTGAAGCATTTAGCTAAAACGTTTTAATAAAGTTTGACCAACAATTCAGGCTTATATTTTTATTTGTTTTGTGAAGGTGTATGAGAGTGTATAATGCATTTTTGGAATATGTTCTCCTTTGTACCTTTGGCATTGCAGAAGATAGCCTAACCATTGAATAGGCATTTTATTTTTTACATTTCTGAGATAGGTATTTCTTTTTCGAATTTATGAGAAAAAAGGGTACAGATCATCTAAACTGCCTCTCAATTTTTTAATATTACTTGATAATAGTAATGCATCGGAGAAATCAGAAATTCGAGGCTATGCCTCATCATCTGTCAATAATGTGAATAAAAAATCGTGAATTACTTTTGGGCAATGGTTGGATTTTAGGGAACCAATTAAAAGACGAACCGTATGATGGCATCTCAAGAATTTGTGGAGAAAAATTAGATATACTCTTGACCTTCAAGAAATTAAGGACCATGTTGCCCACATGATCTAGCTATTCACTAACTATTTCATTACAAGGGAGTAAGTTCATTAAGCTATTACTGCATGGTACTAGCTATCTTAGACTTTCCAAATCCTAGGACTTACATGGTGTTTCTAATAGTGCCACTATGTGTAATATCCAAAGAGAAAAAATCCAACTTATTATATCAGCACATGAGAATTTTCACTCATTGGATGGATTGGCTATATACTAGAACCAGCGGAGTTTTTTTTCCTATTTTCGGTCGCATGAAATGCATCCCCTTGTGCCACCCTTGCGTCACCTTATGCCACTTGTACAGTGTCCCTACTGCATTGGTACAATTTTCGAAATTTATTTTTTCATGTAATGGGAATTGTAATCGTTACATAGTAGAATTTACAAATTTGCAGATCACTGAAAGATCAAATTCGGAAGTGATTTACAAATAAACCAATTTTTTTTTCCTCTAATCAAACTGCTAGTAATACATTTATTAATCCTTTTGGAAGACAGTAATACAATATACAGTATGATACTATATTAAAGATAAACTTTTTCTAATATAGCAGAATACCTGTTAATAAGTTATTTTATGGATTTATATGTAATCCTTGAATCCTTAATATCAAGACCACCATATTGCCCATATAATCTAGCTTTTTACTAACTATTTTACTATAAGAAAGTTGGTTTATTAAGCTATTACTGTGTAATATAACTATCTTAGACTTTCCAAATCCTAACTCTCTAGGTATAATCATGAGAAATAATAAAGTTGCTCCTTCCTAGAGTTAGATATCTATGATCTTCACTTCAAGAGATTAAAGCCAGTCTATATTCAGACTGTCACCCCAACACAATCTTGTGATTAAAGATGGGTTTCTAAAGTATTTAGCATATAAAATTTATATTCCTTTACATTCATATCCCCTAGAGAACATAATTTCTAGCTCTTTATTTCAATAGGAACATAATTCCAGAAATGATTTGTATAGATGCTTAAAACTATAAAAAACCTTTATAGGAAGTTTTTTTTTATTTCTTAATATAAAAATAAAAATTTTTAATAATAAAGGACATTTGAATTATATCCTCACAAATAATTTAAGGACCCATTTTTACTTGTAATCCTAAGAGATAAAAAATATTTATTTTTTTAAAGAAATAAAGAAGAGATAAAAGAGAAAAAGAAAAGTTTGTACTGGTAAATAAAAACCCATCTAAACCAATTACCAGCCTAATAAGAACCTTCTTTGATCTTGAGGAGAAAAGAAACTGGTACAAGAGGGGAGGAGGAAGACTTCAAATCACTTCTTATCAAAAGGACACCTCGACACCTTGCTCTTTCACCATATCCAGTTACATCATCAGTTTTAGTATAATACAACATAAAACACATGAGGAGTATGTGTCTTGTTTACTTTTCTTTTACGTATTGATCAACCAGTCCAAAATTTCAGCCAATCACCAACCAGAGATCCCAATGTAACAAAAAAATTCAGGGTCAAACTGAGGTAGACAAAATTCTCCAGAAAAATCCAAAAAAATTTGCCATGCTTGAAAGTGCTATCACAGATATATATGACTGGTGAAAAAAGATTATACACCTAAAAGGATAGGTTCCTACCAGCTTATCCATCCACCTAAACTATAGGAGTTTCAACTTATGGTGAATCCAAGATTCCTATAGAGCTTGAGAAATGCATTCACTTGATAGGCTCAAATAGCTTATCCACCTGCCTTTAGACAGAAGGTTGTTTATTTATGGTGTACCCAAGATTCTTATATAGCTTGGAAAATGCATTCACTAATAGTTCACTTTCTGGAGTTCCAGATCTAGGGAGAATATAATAGAGTATACTTTTTTAACAGGTTTCTTCTTTCCAGTAAAGTGTTTTTGCTATAGATCAAATGGATAAAATTTTGTTTATTTTGTCATTGAAACATACAAAGTTTTTAGAAGAAGGAAAGATAAACAAGTGAAGGAGGTACCAGCCTTCAGGAAGTAATGTTTTTAAAGAAAGTGTATAGACTTTATTATCAAAAATAAAGAATATTTTTGAGAACATCTGTTTTTTGGGTTGGCAAGGGGATTAGCGTAAAGAGTTTTTACAAATAAACCAATTTTTTTTTTGGATTTTCATCAAAAATTTATATAATTTTTTAAAGAAAAATTTATTTTATTAATTCTAAATATGTAAATAATTTATTTATATATTTAATATCTTGTGGAGTTGCCTTTAGAATTTTTAACCACTAATATAATAGGGCATACTTGCTATTAAATTATAAAAAATTGATTTATCTATTTTAAACCACTCTTTTTGCAATAAATTAAACAATTCTGTTTCATTTGTTAATAATGAATTATGTCTATAGACTCAATATTCTAATTTATTCCAAAGATATTCAATTGGATTGAGGTCAAGACTTTGAACAGGCCATAAAAGACAAATAATATTTTTTTCTTTAATCCATTTCTTTACTACATATATACAATATGTTGGACAATTATTATCTTGAAATATATAATTTTGTCTATTCTCTAAATATGATACTAAATTATTATTAAGAATCTGTATATAATCTTTTACAGTTTGTTATTCATTAATTTGTATTAATAGTCCTAAATTATCAACAGTAAAACATCTTCAAATTATAATTTCTTTTTTATTAAATTTGAATATTGATACAAGATAATTAATATCATATTTTTCTTTAGGTAATCTTCAAATATAAATATGACCATCATCTTCATATACTTCAAAACAGGATTCATCACTTCAAATAATAGTATTCCATTCTGAAAAAATTTAATTTAATCATTTAATTATTCAATTATAACAAAGTTTTTGATTTTTTTTACTAATAAATAGTTTTCTTTTTTCAACTTGTGTATAATAGTCTTCTTTGTGAAGTTGTTATTACAATATATATGTTAAAATTTTAGTTGATATTAATTGTACAAATTTTTTTTGTATAATGTTTAATGTTGCTTTGTAATTTTTTTTTGATAATTCATAATAAGTGATGTATATTATAGTCTATTATTTTAAGTGATCTTTCACTTCAAGTAAGAGATTTGATTTTATCAATCTTTTTAAAATAATTAATTACATAATAAACTATTAATCTTGTGATTTTAAGGGTTTTTGAAATTACTGGTGCCAAAAAATCGGACCTTTAAATATCAACTATATGATTACAGTCTGTTTCAGATAATTCTTTATGTTGTTATGGGAACAATAGGAATGAGAACGCGATATTGTGGCACGTCGCGTAATAATAGAGACAGTGATGATGGAATGATGTAATAATTGATAATAGCATATACTGGGTATTTACACGTCAACAAGACATATAAATAGGATAGTTTTCGAGTTAGTTTAAAACAACAAGTTCTAAGTTCTAGATCAGAGACTTATCAGTTTCGTTTTAGGACACTTCTCTGTTTTTGAGCACATTCGTGCTTTATTAAATAAATGCTACTTCGCTTCGCACAATAAACAAGATATATTCCTTAAAGTATAAACTAAGTTCGTGCCACTACTGTAAAGTAAACCGCCTTTGAAAAGGAGAGACGCGACGTTACTTTTGCACCGTAAGAGAGTGACACTTGTAATCTTGAGACATGCCTAGAGGGAAAGACGGTCAAGAAGAGATTAGCAAGTGTGCGAAAGTCGGCCAAATTGTAACCACCTCAGAGTTAAAGCCTTACCTTATTTTAGTGCCATAATCCAAGCGTTTGGATTATCATCACACGAAGAGTGCACCGTTTTAGCGACAGACTCAAAGGTGATGACAACAATGGGTACGTGTCTTGTTTACATTTCTTTTATGTATCGATCAACCAATCCAAGATTTCATCCAATCACCAACCAGAGAATCTGGTGTAACAAGAAATTCAGGGTCAAACTGAGGTAGGCAAAATTTCCCAGAAAAAACCAAAAAAATTTTTACATGCTTGAAAATACTATACAGGATATATGATTGATAAGAGAGGATCATATACCAGAGCTGTAGATTCCTATTAGCTTATCTACCTGCCTGGACCACAGGAGTTTTGAATCTTATGCTTGGGAAATGCATTCGCTTGGCAGGACCAATTAGCTTATCCATCCACCTCAGAACCAAGGTATTCGCTTATGGTGGACCCAAGGTTCTTATAGAGCTTG